GTTAGTCTTTTTCTATATATATATATATATATATATATATATATATATATATGTATGTATGTATGTATATATGTATATAGGAGTAGAATTGAGGAAGTAGTTAAGATTGATGGCCCAGAAATACCTAAAATATATTGTTGTCGATATCTTGGGCCAATAATCTAGGAGAATGGAGAGATTGAGGAAGACGTGCATAGAAATAGAGCTAGGTGGGCAAAATGGAGATGTGCATTTGTAGTTTTATCTGATTGCTGTATGCCAATGAAATTAAAGTGGAAATTTAATAGGACAGTTATAAGGCCAGCGATGCTTTATGAGACTGGGTAGTGAAGAAACATTATATCAATAGGCTGAGTCTAGCTGAGATGAGGATATTGAGATAGATGAGTGGCATGACGAGAAAGGATAGAATTTGCAAGTGAATACATTCGAGGGAATTTGGATGTGGATTCAATAGGTTATAAGATGAAGGATGTCGACTTAGGTGAGCTGGCAATGTGCAACGTTGACCTAATACATTCCTGATTAGTAGATGCGATTTGGTTCAAGTGTAAGGCTCTAAAAGGGCAAGGGGAAAGCCAAAAAAGACATGGATGAAAGTTGTGAGAAAAGATATTGTGACACATGGTCTTACTTAGGGTATGGCCTTTGATAGAAAAGAATGGCAGAACATGATTCATGTAGCTGAAACCAAATAGTTGGGATAAGGATCGGATGGGCAAAGGGAAGGCCCAAAAGGACATAGATGGAAGTTGTGAGAAAAGATATTGTGACATATGGTCTTACTCATGGGATGGCCTTTGATAGAACAGAAGGGCGGAACATGATTCATGTAGCTGAAACCAAATAGTTGGGATAAGGATCGGCTGTATATATATATATATATATATATATATATAGGAAGAGACTACAAAATGCCTATGGGCCAAAATGAACAGTATTTTTACCTATAGGCTCGGCACCGTCCGATTTTTTTGGACGGCGTGAATTAAAGATCGTCACGGACGTAGCATTATGTGGCAGTCCGTCATGGATATATCATGTCCATCATGTGAATTTTTTCTCGCAAAATTGATGCAAAAAATATACGGGGATCGCCACGGCTTCCGTAGCAATTCACCTATAGGTGTTTTTAAGAACTTTTCTATATATATATATGTAAGGATTTTTTACAAAGAGATCATTTATCTTTTATACATGGAGGTCACAATTATTGTTGTCCCCATCATTTGGATTTTTTCTTGCAAAATTGATGTAAAAAATATACGGGGATCGCCACGGCTCCCGTAGCAATTCACCTACAGGTGTTTTGTAAGAGTGTCATTGAATTGATACAAAGTTAAAAAAAAATAAAAATGATTGGGAGCTTGAGTTGTTGGTGAGCCTGCAGGCTATAATTTCCGTGCTTTGTTCTTTTCGTGGCTTGGATGCTGGTGGGTGTTGCTAAGATTGGAGTTGTGGGTGTCAGTTGTCCGAAATAGTAGGAAACTTCACCAAGGAGTAAGAAAACATTATTGCTTGTGTAGATCCCTTTAGTGGGTGCATCATCTATGTATCAATGTTCTGGTGATTTGTGTGGTGTCATAGGCGAGGACTGTGGTGTCATAGGTGGGGACTAAGTTGGAATTACTCTGAAAGCTTATTTTATTTTATTTCTCTCTCTCTTCTCTTGAGGAGGTGTGTTTTACTAGGTCGTTCGATGTACTATTGGGATGTTATGGCTGTGTCTTTCTTTGTAGTTGATGTTCATTTAGAGCAGGTTTTTTATGACAAAAAGCTCTCTCTGAAGAGTTTGTTCCAGGAGAGAGCTTGCTATCAAATAGGATAGTGCTTGCATACCTAAATAAGTATGAAGGCGCTGTCCCATGAAATGGCACAAAGATGCATAGTGACGCTGTTTGGGCCATCTTCCAGAAGAGTTCTTTCCCATGAAAAACAAACATGAGAAGGCGGTTAGTTTCATGGGAAGTACTCTCCTGGAGTGAGGATTCTGTCGAAAAAAACATGCTTTTATTGAAATTTATTGCTTGTAATGGACGTAGCCTTTCCATATTTGTATTTGGATTCCCTCTTATCTTTAGTCTTAGTTCCTCACCAATAAGCAAAAGATATGTTCAGTAGTATTCTCCTAATATTTTCAGTTTTTGCTCAGATAATAATTTTTGTGTTGTTTCTCTTTTGATGTTTTTTTATTTTCTCTCTAAATAGTTGTCTTTGAATAGTTTTCTCATATTGTACTAGGATCCAATAGTTGATTTGCCTTTTTGCGTTGTATTCTAGTGTTTCACTGTTTGTTTCTTCGCACATGACTTGCAGGTTTTTGCGGTTATTATCTGAGTATGATTGGGATCTTTCTCCTTTGATTGTTGACATAAATGGTGAACTAATTTTGAAGGATATTAGAGAGATCAATGTAAGCATTTAAGCTGCAATCCTTCATCCCAAAGTGTGAAAAAAAAAATATAATTCCCACTTTATTGAATTTGTTTGATTGGATTTTTATATGCTGGTAAGTTGGTATCTAAACGGGTTTGCTATGGAATAGAATAACTTCATCCAAAGTAGAAAGCCCTGTGAAGAAAATGGGCAAACTCGGGATCAAGCCATGTTCTTGGCTACGTCCTATGATAGAGCATCGGAAAGTTGGACCAAGCTTTCCCCAACCACACAGGTGAGTCAAAATATTCTGTCATTTGCCCTTTAATTCTAGCACCACAATAAGCTGGAACTTCTCACATAATCGCTCTTGCAATTTTATTGATGTCCTTTTGTGTAACAGTCCAAAATTTTGTGATGTTTGATAGCTCTTGAAGAACTGGAGTAATATGTTGAAGAACATGTTTTAAATGACAAAGTAGTGGATCAAGGACTAATTTTTTGATATGATGATCTAAAACATTAATATCTGATATTTCTATTTCATAGAGCTTTATTTTGTGCCTATAAGCACTAATTTTTCATGAGTTACAGGTGTGAATTTAATCATTTCTTGGCTTGAGACTGGATGCCTTGTTAGCAACCTACGATCAAGTTTGTGTTGGGATCATAACGATTTAAATATTGCTACTTCCCCCTAAAATACTCAGAATTGGCTCAAATAATTTTCCTGACATGAATACAATAATAGCTAGTTTATGTGCACCCTTGCTTCATTTTATGCAGCAGTTCACATAGTTGTTTTGTAACTTTTGAACATAACACCTTGAAAATGCATAGTTCTTCTCATTGAATCTTGTAGAATACTTAAATATATAGGTGATGCTCCTCAATGATCAGATGAATTAACCTTGAATGCCCATCCAAGTGTAATTTGCAGTTTACAAGTGATTCATGAAGATAAACAAAACCATTGCTCTGGAACAAAACATAACAATGCCCATCCAAGGGTAATTATAAGGAAATGTTTGCTGCTAGGCACTCTTGCAAATCTGGGGAGTAAGGTTCTTCTGCCTATGTCGTGATATCTTCTTCTACAAAAATGATATCCAAGTTGTTTTAGGCTGTGTTCATTAGTTCATTGTAAATATCAAAATAAGGTACACATAACACTGGAGTTACGATTGTATTTTGCATTAAAAATGCAATCACTGAAGTGTATGCTTTATGGGAACACCACAAGAGACTTCTCTACCTGTGTCATACTGTTTCTTTCCATCTATTTTATTTTTCTCCAATAATGTTTTGTTGATAGAGCTGGAGAATTTATTTGACTTGTGGTAGTGGACCTGTTTTGTTGTTCATGGCTTGTTTTGGAAAGATGTGAGCTGCATGCTAAATCTCTTCCAAATTGGCTTTGCATATTTCTTTTTTGAGAATGTAGATGGAATGGGCCTGAATGAAGTGTGAAATAACTTTGTTATTAAGCTGTGTTTTCTATCAATCAGGACTTACGAAGAATTGCATCTTATGCAAGGAGCAGTGTGAACTTATTGTCAGGCCTCATTGAACAGGGTGGTACTGGTGCTCGCACATGGGAGGTCGAGCCCTCACAAAACCATGTTTTATCATTTTATTAGTATCACATAACTGCTCAATTACCTATCTTGTGCTTTGTTATGTTGCAGTCCTTATTTCGAACTCCTTTGAAAAACTATGATGCTGTAATTTTGCTTCATGGAGATCGATTGCCTTACCCTCAACGCGTTCTTTTCCTGGCAGAGTTGAAAGAAGGCAAGTATTGAGCAGTACGAGAATACTGTGGCAGTGCTTTTTCTATTTTACCTTTACAATGATCTGATAGTGGGACTTTATTAGGGAGGCTTGTTATTCGTGGGAGGCCTAGCAAGAATTTCCAACCCTACATTTCACAAGAAGACCTGAAAGGGAGTTTTCAAGAAGCTCGGAGAAAATTAATGGTCAATTTTGACCCGACCTGGTGTTTTCTAGAGGACATAAAAGTAAGTACACAAATTTACTTGGGGATTGAAACAGCTCTAAATCAAGGTGCCTTTGCGTGTGAGTGAATTCACGTGTTTGAGTTTTTTTTGGGTGAATATGTGTTTGAGTTTTGAATAAGAGGTGTTATTTGATTGGCAGAGAGAATTCCCAGATGACTTTAAGGTGTGGTATGATTCTCTTGGGGGAAATCTTATTGGTTTGACATTGGAGAAGCTAGGCCCAAAGGTAAATTAACCGGGGGAATTGCTCCTCTCCTTCAAGTTTCATGGATATATTTTGTCAGGAAGGTATACAATATTACCTGTTCCTATCCTGCACAATATAAACAGCTTCCCAGGCCGTCCAAATGTCAATAATGGATGGCTGTCGAGCATCTTTATCTGCTCGAAGTCCATCTTGAAGCTACCCAACCTCTGTAATGACATTGGATGGTTACGGACTTGTTTAAATCCATGCAGGATATAAACAAATACTATCGTATATGTTTGCTATTTTGTCTGGGTTTTATTTTTTCTAGTGGGAGTGATTTCATACAACAATTCTATAATAATATAATGAAACAATCTTGAAAAACCATGTTAGGGTTATTTGTTTGATTCCAAATTTTAAGTATACATTCTTTTCATTCTAATAAACAATCATAAGAAAACAAAATTTGAAACACACTTTAGAAAGTCTTTTTTAGCCTAATTAATATAGGCCGTCCATCTTAGTGGGATGTGTACATCTAGGTTTTAGAAGGATATTTTTCCTTTCTAAATTTTTTTGATAGCTTTATTATCGTTAGATTAACAATGTTTAAAAAGAAAAAATTGTTTCACCAAATGGATGGTCTAGATTCAATATTAGAGGGAACTCATTTTGATCCTATATAGGGTGCAAATTGAGTTTTATCTTTTTTGAAATTGATTATTGGGATGAAGAGAATGTGTGGGCAAAATGTAGGGTTATATAAATGCCATTAACATGATTATCTAGAAGTACTGTTTCATTATATTATAATGACATGATGACACAAGATTATTCCCCTCTTTTTAATTTATCAATCTTAACTTTCTGTTATGGAGTAAATGGTACCCGTTTTGTGTGTGAGTGAGTGAGTGAGTGAGTGAGTGTGTGTGTGAGAGAGAGAGAGAGAGAGAGAGAGAGAGAGAGAGAGAGAGTAGTTAGTTAGTATGACTATTTAGTTAGTAGTAAGTAAGTGTGTAGTATACGTAGTTAGTTAACGTAACGTCGCGTGGACGGACGTACGTACCGACCGACGTCAGTCGACACGAC